CCGCAGACAGCACCGAAGCCAGCTCTAACGACGGCACTGCAGTCAGCCTCGACGCCAGCCGGGGGCACAGATTCGACACCATCCCCGCCCCCTCCCTCGCCCCGCCCCGCTGGAGGAGGAGGAGACGACGACGACGACGACCACGACGACCATGACGACGCTGCACCGACGCCGGCTCCGACGTCAGCATCGACGCTCGCATCGACGGCAGCAACGACCACAGCTTCGCCGACTCCGACGGCAGCATCAACGGCAGTGATGACGGCTCCGACGGCAGCACCGTTAGCATCGTTCGCATCGCCAGCGCCGACGGCAGCATCGCTAGCATCGCCGGCTCCGACGTCAGCATCATTAGCATCGCCGGCTCCGACAGCAGCATCGACGGCAGCGACGACGGCTCCGCCCACAGCTTCACCGACTCCGACGGCAGCATCGATAGCTTCGCCGGCTCCGACGTCAGCATCGACGGCAGCGACGCCAGCACTGCCAGCGGCGGCTCCGATGCCCACAGCGACCACGCCCACAACATCATTGTTGGCGGACCCGCGTAAACAGAGGGAGCCACGTCTGCACGCCTACAGCGGCCATGCTTACATCCACACCCCACTGCGATACGCCCCATCGGCGGCCTCACCCGCAAGCGCCCACACAGGATCCTGTCATCGGCATTCGGCCGCAAGCGACGCCAGCACCAGTAACAGCCACTCCTGTGCCCCCTGTATGGCCACTTGCTCGGCGGCGCCTTCAGGCCCGCCGAAGCATGGTGACCTACAGACGCCAGTGTCGCAGTCAGCATCGACACCAGACCAGACATCCACCTCGACGTCAGCAGCGAGGCCAGCACCGACGACAGCTCCGACGCCAGCAACGCCGACGTCAGCTCCCTCGCCTGCGCCTATGCCGGTACCCACGCCAGAGTTGCAGCCAGCATTGACGCGAGCTCCGACGGCTGCATCGACGCTAGCATCGACGGCAGCACCTACCACAGCGTCGACGCGAGCACTGCCAGCGGCAGCACCCACGCCTACGCCTACGCGGGCGCCAACGTCAGCGTCGCAGTCTGCACTGACGTCAGTTGAGGCGCGAGCACCGACGCCACCAATGACAGCAGCTCCGACGCCAGCATCGGCAGTGTCAGCATCCACGCCTGCCCCCTGGACGGCGACGTCAGAGCCGAAGGCAGCACCGACGTCCCTGTCGACGCCCGCACCGACGCCAGCACTGACGACAGCTCTGACACCAGCACCTCCAGCGCCAGCGGCCGCCCCCACCACGCCGGCACCAAAGCCAGAGTCACAGGCAGCAGCGACGTCAGACCCGACACCCACCCCGACGTCAACAGTGAGGCCAGCACCGACGACAGCTCCGACGCCAGCACCGCCAGCGTCACCACCCACGCCCGCGCCTACGCCGGTACCCACGCCAGAGTTGCAGCCAGCATCTACGCCAACTCCGCCGTCTGCATCGACGCTCGCATCCATGGCAGCATCGTCCATAGCTTCGACACCAGCACTGCCAGCGGCAGCACCCACGCCCACGCCTACGCGGGCACCAACGTTGACACCAGCACCAACGCCGGCACCGAGCGCAGCCGAGACGTCATCGCCGACGACAACTCTCACGCCAACCCTGCCAGATTCAGCACGCCCTGAGTCGTCCGCGGCGGCACCAAAGGCGGCACCCACGTCGGCCTACACGGCAGCGTTCGTGGAGCGTGCGTGGTTGGAGGTCATCGAGTGGTACAACGTGGTGTCACCGTCCACGTGGGCCACCCTGTGCGCCACGTACGTCATGTACTACTTCTTCATCGGCTTCCGCGACGAGTGGCGGCGACGGAGCGCAGCTACAGCGCGGCGGCGACGCCGACAGCGCGGCGGCGACGTCGACCGCAGACGCCCTCTAGGCCACCAGACGGCCGCCCAGGGCCGCCCTGGCATCAGCCCCCACACTGCCTCGAGCCTCGAGCCGACCTCCCTGCCAAAACCTGGTAGCACGCCAGCGGGGGCGGCTTCAGCCCCCCTGCATGGCACCACGCCTGCCATTCCTGTCATCGGCCCCCACACTGCCTCAAGCCTCGAGTCGACCCCCCCGCCAAAACCTGGTAGCACGCCAGCGGGGGCGGCTTCAGCCCCCCCGCATGGCACCACGCCTGCCATTCCTGTCATCGGTCCCCACGCTGCCTCGAGCCCTGGGGTGACCTCCCCGCCACAACCTGGTAGCACGGCAGCGGGGCCAGCCTCGGCCGTCTCGCATGCTCACACGCCTGCCCTGGGTCCTGGCTCCCTCGCAACCTCGCGTGTTAGCACCAGCACTGCCAGCACTAGCACTGTGACTGTACGGGAGCACTTCGAGCGCTTCCTCGGACCGCAACCAGCCACCATCGGTCACCTCCGAGCCGTAAACTGCCGTTTGGCCGCTTGGATCCCACCACGGCTCCACGCGGGCACAGCGGTCATCGTCCAGGGTCAAGTCCACAACCCCATCAACGGCCTCCGAGGTATCGCACGGGGGCAGTCCAGCGAGCACCCCGGCCACTGGACCGTCACGCTGTCGTCTGGAGACACCGCCCACCTGAGATGCTCCAGTCTGACCGTCCCTGCACCTGCGCTCCGCGCCGAGATGCCGTGCGTACCACTGAACGTAGCATGATGGTAGCATGTGCAAATCTTGAGTTAACCTTTGTTTCTTGAAAGCCTGTTGTACTGTCGTTGGTGCGTACACTACACACGCAGTATATATATATTTTTGCTGTTCCTCCTCCCTGTATGTGGTGACGTTAACCCGGCCGGCCACCTTCGTTATCTACTGCTTGGTTTTCCGAGCAAATAGGTGGGACAAAATGCGTTGTACTTTTCAAGAGCGAAGAACGCTGGGGCTTCTCATTCACTTTGCCCTCATCCTGACCAGCGTGGCACGGCCTCGCCCTCGCCGCAAGTGCGCGCCCTGCCTTGCTCACCCGGGCGCTGTTCCCTGGCGCGCCGTGCCTGCTGGCGGGGGTGGCGGCTTCAGCCCCGCCCCACGCACCCGAGCCATCACGCCATGTCTTGTCCGCCATGTCGTAGCGGGTGCATCCGCTGTGAGGGCCTCCTCTGCACCCTTGCACTGTCTCTGCCTGTGCGCATGCTGGGCCATTCGGCTCCCAGCATGTGCACCTTTTCCTCAGCGCGTCTGGCGCCCTCTGCCGTCCGCCGCCTGGCCGCGGACTCTGTCTCTGTGCGCACTGTGCTGGGCCATACGGCTCCCAGCTGGTGCACCTTTTCCTCAGCGCGTCTGGCGCCCCTCTGCCGTCCGCCGCCTGGCCGCGGACTCTGTCACTTTCGAGGTCCGCCAATGGGGGCTAAAGGTTAGCTGGCAGCGGCTGGTGCCGCTGTGCTGTCGGCTAGCTTTTGCCGCTCCTGTTGGGGTTCTCGGCCTGTGCGCACTGTGCTGGGCCATGCGGCTCCCAGCTGGTGCACCTTTTCTCTTTTCGCCAGCCCGTGCGACCGCGAGGCACCGCGTCCACGGGGCCTGGGCGCGGGGGCGGGGGGTGCCCCGTCTCTGCGCGCCGCGCAGCGGCCAAGCGCCCAACCGGCGGTCCGCCAAGCCGCCTTAGCCACGTTCTTCACGTCGCCACTCGCGTTGGGGCCTTCTTCTTCACGCGGTCTGACAGGTGAGATCTTCACAGTCTGTCCGCCGTCCGTAGCTTCAGACGCAATGCGCCGGGGGAGGGGGTCTGTTGCCCGCCCTCGTATCTTAAGGCTGCACCGCCGCTAATAGTGTTTTGCGGGTTGTCGCACCGCAGTGCGCCTCGCGGACGGACCCTGGTCCGCCTACTTGTCCGGTCTCTCTCTCTCTCTCTCTCTCTCTCTCTCTCTCTCTCTCTCTCTCTCTCTCTCTCTCTCTCTCTCTCTCTCTCTCTCTCTCTCTCTCTCTCTCTCTCTCTCTCTCTCTCTCTCTCTCTCTCTCTCTCTCTCTCTCTCATCTCTCTCTCTCTCTCTCTCTCTCTCCTCTCCTCTCTCTCTCTCTCTCCTCTCTCTCGCTTCCTCTCTCTCTCTCTCCCTCTCTCTCTCTCTCTCTCTCTCTCTCTCTCTCCTTCTCTCCCTGCTCTCTCTCTCTCTCCTCTCTCTCTCTCTCTCTCTCTCTCTCTCTCTCTCTCCTCTCCTCTCGCTCTCTCTCTCTCTCTCTCTCTCCCTCTCTCTCTCTCTCTCTCTCTCTCTCTCTCTCTCTCTCTCTCTCTCTCTCTCTCGTCACGGGCTCGTGAGATCAGCCAGGGTGGCTCCCCCTTGGGGCTCCCAAATGATGCCCCTGGCAGCGTTTTGTGACCATGAGGCTCTCAAGAGATACATGTTGGGGAGGCCAAACGGCAATTCTAGCTGAGGCGTCCCACCAAAATCGGCGCGAACGGGCTCGTGAGATCAGCCAGGGTGGCTCCCCCTTGGGGCTCCCAAATGATGCCCCTGGCAGCGTTTTGCGACCATGAGGCTCTCAAGAGATACATGTTGGGGAGGCCAAACGGCAATTCTAGCTGAGACGTCCCACCAAAATCGGCGCGAACGGGCTCGTGAGATCAGCCAGGGTGGCTCCCCCTTGGGGCTCCCAAATGATGCCCCTGGCAGCGTTTTGTGACCATGAGGCTCTCAAGAGATACATGTTGGGGGCGCCAAACGGCAATTCTAGCTGAGACGTCCCACCAAAATCGGCGCGAACGGGCTCGTGAGATCAGCCAGGGTGGCTCCCCCTTGGGGCTCCCAAATGATGCCCCTGGCAGCGTTTTGTGACCATGAGGCTCTCAAGAGATACATGTTGGGGAGGCCAAACGGCAATTCTAGCTGAGACGTCCCACCAAAATCGGCGCGAACGGGCTCGTGAGATCAGCCAGGGTGGCTCCCCCTTGGGGCTCCCAAATGATGCCCCTGGCAGCGTTTTGCGACCATGAGGCTCTCAAGAGATACATGTTGGGGGCGCCAAACGGCAATTCTAGCTGAGACGTCCCACCAAAATCGGCGCGAACGGGCTCGTGAGATCAGCCAGGGTGGCTCCCCCTTGGGGCTCCCAAATGATGCCCCTGGCAGCGCTTTGTCGAGTCCTATCTTATCTTACCTTTATTACCCTCTATCTTATCTTATCTTGAAATCTCTTATCTTGTCTTAGCTTATCTTATATCAACTCATCTTATCGCATCATATCTTGACTTATCTTATTACTCCATAGGCTGTCTTATAATATATATTATCCTACCATGTCATATATCTTATCTTACCTTATCATATATTGTGCTATCTTATCTTATATTGTAGTATCTTATCTTGTCTTGTCTAATCTGGTGATTATCATTGGGAGGAGGGAGGCGCGAGCGGGAGGAAGGAGGAAGGAGGAGCAGTGGGAGGCGTCAGAGTAATAACAAGAACCCCAATCCTTAGGATATGGGGAAAAAAAACAACAAAAAAAAAAAAAACAAAAAAAAAAAAAAAAAAAAAAAAAAAAAAAAAGGAGGAGCGGGCGAGGGATGAGGAGGAGGAGATGCAGGGGGGGGGGAGGGCAGGAAGAAAAAGAGGTGGGGACGTGGGGCAGTAGGGGCGCGACTGCGAGGGGGGGGGGAATTGGAAGCGGAGGTGGAGGACGAAGGGGCTAATATGGGCACGTATTTCAACCGACCTTTTGGGGGTATAAGGTCGGCTGGAATACATCAAGGTTTGGGCGCGCGGGCTGGGGAGCTGAGCCTGATCTTGGGCGGAGCGGCAAAAAGAATCGCACGCATTTCTCACTTGCTTGGCGAGGTCCCGAGCCCCATCACTTTCGGCATGGACGGCCAGATCGCTCGCCGACGCAACGTCGGTCACGCGCTGCATCGCCGTGCCCTCGGAATTCCGAGGTCCAGCATCTTTGGCGTGGACGATCAGGTCGCCCGACGAGACGTCCACCACATGCTGGATCGCCGTGCCTTCGAATTCCCGAGCCTCGGCCGTCGCGCCGGACGTATCTGGATGCGCGGAGAACTCGTAATTCGGGTTCAGCGTCGCCGCAACCCCTTTTTTTATGACAATTCGCGATAGTTTTCTGTCTAGAGACAAGCACGAAGTAGGTGGTCCCGTCGACGTACGCGCTCGCAGTGCGCGGGTTGAGCCCTGAACCCATGTCAGAATATGTGCGAGCATTTCCTGCTTGTAAGTGAGCATAGAATTCAAGGTCTCGTCGAAGTGCGCGCTTGCACTAAAGGTGGGTCCGTCGCAGGTTCCAATCTACACCTATCATGTATCTCCTCATCCGGGGGAGAGAGAGAGGAAAAAAAAACAAAAAACAAAAAAAAGGCCGGGTCCGGGCCGGCATTATGGAGACGGGAGGCCCAGAGGGTCAACCCGTGAAAAGAAGACGGTGAGCTCAAGACGCTACTCAACCATCGAAGGCCTGCAGGCCGTGGCGACGAGGCAGTGCTCCCCCAGATCTCCCCACCATTGAGCGGGGTCGTCACTATCATCGCCGTCGCGGGAGATCGCGTGATCTCCCCACCATTGAGTGGGGGGAGCGAGGCGCCTGCGGCGACAAGGATATGTCTGGTAGGGTCCTCACGTCGTCGTCCTTCCCTTGGGACTGCCGCCAGGCGGTGATCCACCAGGGGTCTCACGTCCCCTTGCGTCGTCGTCCGCTGTCGGCATCGCTGCTTCTACTATATATTTAGCGATGAAGACGTAGTTCGTGTAGTCACCGCGCTCGTTGTCCAGGGGAGGGGAGAGGAACCTGTGACACGAGGTGCAAAGGCGGAAGCATGGCACAGTGAAAAGGGGCCCCCGGACCTGCTGTTCGAGTGGAGGGAGGACGAGGGGGAGAAGGTTGAGCAGAAAGAGGGAAAGAAGAAAAAGAGCGGAGAATGTGGAGCAGTAGGGGTGCGACTTCGAAGAGGGGGAGGAATCGGAAGAGGAGGTGGAGGAGGACGGGGCCAATATGGGCAGGTATTTCAACCAACCTTTTGGGGGCAAAAAGGTTGGTTGAAATACATTAAATTAAACTTTTGGCGCGCGGGCTGGGAGGCTGAGCCGGATCTTCATGCGGAGCGTAAAAGGAAGCGTACAACTTCTCTCGTGGAAGAACGAAGGGCAATAGGACGAGGGAGGAGATACACTACACGGGCGCGGGCGCTAGCTAGGCCTTGGGCCCGCGAGTGGCGGCAGCATGGCACAGTGAAAAGGGGTTCCCGGACCTGCCGTTCGAGTGGAGGGAGGATGAGGAGGAGCAGGAGGAGCAGGAGGAGGGCAGGAAGAAAAAAGGGGAGGATGTGGAGCGGTAGGGGTGCGAGTGCGAAGAGCGGGAGGAATTGGAAGAGGAAGGGGAGGAGGACGGGGCCAATATGGGCATGTATTTCAACCAACCTTTTTGGGGGAAAAAGGTTGGTTGAAATACATCAAGGTTTTGGTGCGCGGCTCGGAAGGCTGAGCCAGATCTTGAGGCGAAGCGTAAAAAAGAAGACATAACACTTGTCTGGTGGACGAAAGAGGGGGGGGGACGAGGGAGGAGGTACACGGAAAGTAAACGGGCGCGGCCGCTAGCTAGGCCTTGGGCCCGCGGGTGGCGGCAGCATGGCGGAGGGAAAAAGGGGCTCCCCGACCTGCCGTTGGAGTGGAGGGAGGACGAGGAGGAGCAGGAGGGGGAGGAGGGCAGGAAGAAAATGATGGCAGGATGTGGAGCAGTGGGGGACGAGTGCGAGGCAGCATTGGGAGAGGAGGTGGAGGAGGAAGGGGCCAAGATGGGCATGTATTTCAACCAACCTTTTTGGGGCAACAAGGCTGGTTGAAATACATCGAGGTTTTGGCGCGCGGGTTGAAAAGCTGAGCCGGATCTTGAGGCGAGACGGCAAAACGAAGCATAAACATTTGTTCTTGAACAACGAACGGGAGTGGGACGAAGGAGGAGGAGGAGGAGGAGGAGGAGTGGGCGGAGGGCAAATGGAGAATGAACTGGAAACATAGAAAAAGGACAAAAATGGAAAAACGGAAAAAGAAAAATGGAAAAATGAAGAGTGCTTCACTTTTCCACGTTTCCGCTATTCTACTTTTGCATGTTTCCACTTTTCTGGTTTAACCTTGCGTTTTTCCCCACTTTTCCACGTTTCCAATTGCCGCCGCACTTTTCCATTTTTCCGCATTTTCACTTTTCCAATTGCTGCCACACTTTTTCACTTTTCCACTTTCCCGGTGTTTCACTTCTCTTGTGCTTTTCCACATTTCCGATTTATTGAATGACAGTTTTCCACTTTTCCACTTTTCCATTTCGGGGGAGGGCGTTTTCGCGCTAATTGGACAAGACCAGATTTACCTCGGTAGTGATATGTTATGTCTGCAATGTTCTGTCGTGCTCGTTGTTCTGCCCTGTCATGTTCTGTTGTATACTATCGTGTTCTGTCGTGATTGTCGAGGGCGCGAGGTGGGATACCCAAGCTTCTCGGGACAACTTAGGGTCTGGCGGCCGCGGTATGCAGGGTGTGTTCTGTCGTGTGTGTCGAGGGCGCGAGGCGGGATAACCGGGACACTCGGGACAATTTGAGGTCGGGCGGCCGCAGTATGCAAGGTGGGACTGACCTGGAGGTCTGTTCTTAAAACCTAACGACCCCAATCTGTCCGGTGGAAAAAAACAGATCGGCGGAGTCTGACTGTATAGTTGTAAGGAAGAGGCTGAAATATCTAAAGCGTTTACTCGCTCATGGGCCCCCTGTCCTGCTAGCACTGCTAGCGCAGAAAAGTGCGAAAGGACAGTGCATGCCCTGGACTGCGCAAATACTGCGTGACATGCGCCTGCTGAGAGAGCGCGTGTTGTATGATATGAATGACCCTGTCAAGGATTGGCAGAGTTAGTGCAGGGCCATTGCCTCACCGAAGTGGGAGCAGGCGGTAGATGCATTGTTTTTCACAGATTCGGTGCTTGATTATGTTGCGTCCTGCGAGCCCGTTGTCCAGTTGTATACGTGCTCGCAGTGTGAGGCGACGTTATGCAGCGAGAAAGCCAAAGAGCAGCATGAACGCATCAAGCACCAGATGCGGAGCCCAATGCGTACATACGCGTTCGGCGATGGAAGGTGCCGCGCATGCAATACTCAGTTTTCGCGCAGGTAAATGCTTTTGCGACACTTGTGCGACAAGCGGAGGACTGTGTGTCGTGACGCACTGTTGGCATCGACGGTCGAGCCGTTGAGCGCCGCGGCGGTGGTCGCACTCGACGAGGCAGACAAAGCCGAGTGCGCCAAGGCTAGGCGTGCCGGCCACACTCAGATCCTCTCCAAGGCCCCCGCCGTTCGAGACGTGAAGATGGTGGGAGGTTTAGCAGCTAGGCGCAACGCTGTACAGTATACTGGATGCGGCTGTGCTTCCCCAGTCGTTCTAAACCAGCGAGAGGGCGCTGAATGTTACGACAATTCTCGATACTTGCAGCATTCATTGAGACATCCTGCGGGTATCCTCGGTACGATAATAATCACAACAATACTAATAACCATACCATCTTACAAAATCTCTCAATGCACCGCTCGGGGGCCCCCCATGCATTCCCGACCATCACGGCTCCATCCAGGACGACAAGCTGCCTCCGGGGGAGGGATCGAGCCCCCCGGCGGGGCCGCGGCTTGCAGCACGGGCACATCGTCGGGTACCCAGGAGCAGGAGCCAGATGGGCTAGAGAGGGGGGGGGGCAGAGAAGGAGGCGGGCGCCAGGACGCAAACACTGGAACGGGGACGGCCGACAGGGGAAGGGAGCGGAGAGGAAGAGTCGGATAAAGTGAGGGAGGACGGGGGGCGGTCTGTCTGCCCGTTTCGCTGTCCGTGTGTCTATGTGTATGTCAATGTGTGTTTCTCTCTCTATCCATAGAAATCAGAGTGAGGGGGCCGAACGGTCATTCATTGTCCCTGGGTGAGTGCTGATGTAGTTGTTGTTGGTGGTGTTGTTTGTTGTCGTCGTCCCACCCCGCGACCCACCCGCGACCCACCACGCGACCCACCACGCGACCCAACCGCGACCCACCCCGCGACCCACCCCGCGACCCACCCCGCGACCCACCCCGCGACCCACCCCGCGACCCAAACCGCGGCCCACCCCGCGACCAACCCGCGACCAACCCGCGACCCACCCCGCGACCCACCCGCGACCCACCCCGCGACCCACCCGCGACCCACCCGCGACCCACCCGCGACCCACACCGCGACCCACCCGCGACCCACCCCGCGCCATCCGCTACCCATCAACGACCAACCCGCAACTCACCCCGCGACCCTCCCGCGACCAACCCCGCGACCCACCCTCAAGGGAGGAAAAACCACCCGGACCGGACAATTGACCTTTACTAAATGGCCCTGGGCGTTGACTAAACAGCCCTGCCCTGTTCGATCCATTCTTTTTCTGCGTTTACTACGTCGGCTTTGCTTGTCGGGGTGATTATTATGGGGTGGATTGTCTGCCCTCTAAATCCGCGACCCACCCGCGATCCATTGGCGACCCACCCGCGACCTACCCACACTGGCTTAACGAAAAAATCGTCGCCTGCGAGTGAGGGTGCCGAACGGTCATGTAGTCCCTGGGTGCGTGGCTGCATGAGGAATTTGTTGTGAGAATGCTGTTTGCTGCGTCGTTGTTGCTGTTGTCGTATAGGCGCCCTGGCGCTCTCGCCGAGGCGTCGGCTACATTTTCATTGAACATGAGGCTCACACTCGAGCGGCTTTGGGGACCGCCAAAACTGCCCCCCAAACAAAAACAACAACAACAACAACAACAACAACAGCAACAACAACAACAACAACGACAACAACAACAACAACAACAGCAACAACAACAACAACAACAACAACAACAGCAGCAAGAACAACAACAACAACCACACCAGCAACAACAACAACAACAACAACAACAACAACAACAACAACAACAACAACAACAACAACAACAACAACGCTGTCGCTCGAGACTTCCTCCTTTTTGTTACTCAGGGCTGGTGTTCTTGTTCGCCGCCGAAAGCCGCCGTCCTAACAAAACCAGCGCTCCCGCTGGAGACTTCCTCCTGGTTTACCTTGGACTGGCGCGCTAGTCTTTCTCTCATCGGCGCCGCCCCCAACAACAACAACGCTCCCGCTCGAGACTTCCTCCCTTTTTCGCTCAAGGCGTTGTTTCTCCTCGCCGCCGAAAGCCGCCGCCCCGACAAAACCAACGTTCCCGCCCGAGACGTCCTTCCATTTTACGCTGGACTGGCGCCCTACTCTCTTCTGAATTTGCGCCACTCCCAGCAAGAACAACGCTCCCGCTCGAGGCTTTCTCTTTTTTTCCTGAAGACGGTGCTGTTCCTCGCCGTCGACAACCCCCGTCCCGACAAAACCACGGTCCCGATCCGACCCCACCCGCGACCCACCCGCGACCCACCCCGCGACCCACCCGCGACCCACCCCGCGACCCACCCGCGACCCACCCGCGACCCACCCTCAAGGGAGGAGAAACCACCCAGACCCGACAAATAACGTTTACTAAACGGCCCTGGGCGTTTACTAAGCAGCCCTGCCCTGTTCGATTCATTCCGTGTGTGCGTTTACTACTCGGCTTCGCTTGCCGGGGTGATTATTAGGGGGTGGACTATCTGCCCTCTACACCTGCGACCCACCCGCGACCCAACAGCGACCCGACCGCGACACACCCGCGACTCATTTGCGACCCACCCGCGACCTACCCACATTTGGTTAACGAAAAAAAAGTACCTGCCGCGGGCTCGTTGCATCATTTGTGAAACGTTGTCGCCTGCGGCGGGCTTCTCCAGAGTCTCGCAAACTGCCAAAGTACCCACCGCCCCCTCACTCTTTTCCGCAGCTGCGGGGTGCTACGTATAAAACACGCGTTATGTAGACCTGTGTGTGCATGTCCTCTGCTCGGCGTTCATCCCTTCTTTCTGCTCATCATGCATATCCATGTACCTGTTCGTTCCTTGAATTTCGCGCCGTCCCGTCTTCCCGTCTCCCAGTTTGTCAGTCCCTCTTTATGTCTGTCTGTTTGGCATTCACTTTCTCTCTCTGTCTCTCTCTCCCTCCCTTCCGACGGGGACACTGGGAGATGTGGAAACGAGGACACGGGGAGACCAGACGATGCGAAAGAATGAGAGAAAAATACTATGCATATAAATGTACATGTATCCATGTCTGCATGAATGAATACGCATCCATATGATGATGAGTATATGTATATACGTATGTATATGTAAGGGTCGACGAAGGGAGGTGAGCACTGGGAGAGGATAAAGCGGAGGAACTGACCTCCACCTCCTCTGCTTCTCCGCCTCCCCCAGTCCCCTCCTCCTCCCGCACTCTCTCTTCTTCCCACCCCCCATCATCCTCCCCCACCTCTCCTTCTCCTCGGCATCCAGGGATCGAGCGAGAGACAGAGAGGAGACACAAAAAAAGAAAAATAAAAAAGACACACAGAGAGAGATAGAGAGAGACACATAGAGAGAGGGCGAAGCGAGACCCGGACCCCCCTGAACTGGAAGGGGCTGCCGAGGTGCGCGGAGATGGCGCCCTCCAGCTTCAGGACCCTCTTGGCGTACCTGGCCGCCGTGGCTGCGGGGGGCCCAGGCCCCAAGCACGATGACGCATCGAGTTTCGGGGGGTGGGGGCCTTCGGAAAGCTTCTGGGCGCCATTCGGGGATGCTCCTGCGCCTCTGAAGCCTCCAGGCTTCCCCGAGCCACTGCGAGGGGGGAGGGGAAACTCAGGGGAAACCCTGCGGCGCCCCAAGGACGGAGGACAAGCGAGGACGGAAGACGAAGACGGAGCACGAGCCCTGACATCCGACATCGTGGGATCTGCGCAAAGAGGCTCCCCAAAGGTCGGGCCCTTTACCTGGAGACCGAATTGTCATCCGGCATGGTTTCTTGACGGTCGCGGGGACCGGCTTCGGCTCCAGGCCCAAAATCTATCGGGACTGAGCGCGACTCGGCGGAATTACTCTGGACTATGCCTGATGATGCATATTTGCAACCACGGATATACATGTGCCGATGCTGAGTTCAACCTCCCGAAAGCTGTATCCGAAGGGAGAGGATGAGTGGAAGGCGGCGGAGGAGCAGAGGGAGGGGGAGGGAGGAGGAGTAGAGGGAAGAGGGAGGGTGGCAAGAGGGGGCGGACGGGGGAAGGACAGGGGAAAAGAGGACGGATCGGGGGAGGAGGAGGCAGGAGGGAGCTGACGATTCGAGCGCTTGCTCCCGCGGCTTCCCCAAGAGATAAGCAGGAGGGAGGAGCGAAGGTAGACAGGGGGAGGGTGGATGGTCCCTTGAAGTGCTTGGCAACGAAACCTTTCAGCAAACTCCAGAATAGCCCAGAACGCCCAGCCGCCTCGATCCCAGTCGCCGTCGTCGGACAAGGGGAAGGGGGGAAAGGAAAGAGGAATGGCAGTGAAAGCGAAAGAGGAGGGGGAGGAGGAGAAGGAGGAGGAATATGAGAAGCCATGAACGACCGTGGCATGGGGAGGCGGCTGATCAGCATATTGAGGAGGACAGGAAAAAAGGGAGGAGGGGAGGCCGGGAAAAGGGGAGGGCAGGGGGAAGGGGAGGGAAGGAAAGGGGAGGGGAGGGAGGGGAAGGGAGGAGAAGAGGAAAAGGGAGGAGAGAAGAGGGAGAGGGAGGAGGGGGGTGCGAGGGAGGAAGTCGAAGACAATGATGCCAGCGGGGCGGGGGCGAGGGAGAGACGGGCGGACCGAATCCCTCGGCAGCAGGCGGGCCGGGCAGATGGCCGGCAGGGGGGCACTGCGGGCAGCGCCAGGTGGACGACAGCACCACGAACCTCGCGGGAACGTGGGCGCATGCCACAGGTGGCGAGGTCCCCTCTGCCTCCGATCCTCCTACCATTACGACTACGGCGAGTCCAGCCACTACAATGGCTGAGCGCAGGTCTGCGTTGCCAGGTTTGAACCATGGTGCCAAAAGTTCGGATGCGGGCCCGAGCTCGGGTTCGGGAGCGCCTCCGGATTTCAAGGGAAAGCAACTGTGTCCTATTCAATACAGAAAATGGAACGCCTTTGGATTCCAGAGGGAGCCGCTGGTTTCCACATGTTGTCGATCGGAGAATCCATATACATTCATATACACAAACATATACATATATAGATATACATATACATAAATATTTATGGATAAATATGTTAATATACATATACATATATATATATACATATATATACATATATATATATGTGCATATGTGCGTGAGGACGGATTGTCTCCGAATGTCGAAGAAAACCACTGGCATGTAACAGTCATACAGACAGACAGACAGAAGCGCCATTCGCCGAAGCGCGTGGGCAGGCGACAGCGCACGTCGATTGACGCTTTGCGGGGCTGGTGGCCTACCGACATTTTCTCTTGAAATGCAGAGGGCTACTGTGCAGAGCAGGAAGGGGGGGAGTAAAAGACGAAACGAAATCTGCAACGAACTTTCGCCAAGCTGCAGGCTCGCAAAGGCTTTGCATTGCGGCCTCCTTTGAAGCGAAGTGCGGGCCGATCGTCTTCATTTGGCACTTTGCCCATACATTTTTCGGCCGTCCTACAGCCGCGGCGCAAGCGTCTGTAGCTGGTCGCAGGCATCCGCCCTGAAACGCAAGGCGCCCCAATCGATTCGAATTGCCAGCCCGACCGATTTTTCCGAACAAAAGCTGTTGACTCAGGAACTGCGTCGCGCGCGGCTCTTGACTTGCCCGCAGCAGCGCGCCCCTATTGGAAACTCTGGAGATGCGCGCGGACGGAGCGCGCAAGATGCTGCGGAGGCACCGGGCCTGACGACCATCTAACTGTCGACGTTCTGCCTTGTTGAGCCAAGCTGAATTTAGATAATGCATAACCATACTCGTGACGAAAGATAGGAAACCTTTCCTATATTTCGTCGCGAGGACGAAAGATAGGAAGTCTGCGGGCTTTGTCGCGAGAGATAAGAAGTCTGCGGGCTTTGCCAATAGCTGCGCGTTTCCACGCGCGCCTGCATCTGCAAAGTTCACCCCGAGCTGCCCCCAACATGTTGCTTAATTATCCAGACAGCCGGCCTGGGCTGGAGATTGTTGCCCCACGATGCACAAATGATTCTGCGGCTCGGATTGGTTCGCCCCGTCGCGGCGCAAGGCTCACGTCGCAACGAACCCGCATGAGGTGGAGCTCGCTCCAACGCACTTCCACGCCGACCCTGGCCCCTGATCCTGCTATTTCTCCCAAGAGAGAATGCGCGTGAACTCGGCCGCGCCCAACGAGCAGCGCGTCGTCGGCACGCAGCGATACAGCCAGTAATTCTCATCGCAAACCTCACGGACAGAGTCTGCGCGGCGCTCGGCGCTTCGCAATACCATTGTCATAACAAACACGAACACGAGCGGTGAAAGCAGACAACCTTGGGATATTCCAGAACGTTGCCGTCTCTCTGTAGATGTATGTTGTCCGCCTGCTAATTTGAACGCCATGCTGCAATAGACGCTGCCAAGGATCGCAACGGCGCGGCGCGCCTCTCCCAATCTACGCGGCGATTCCAGAAGTGCGCCCACGTAGAGCGAGTCAAAGGCTTTTTTCCAATCCAAAGCTAAGAGCGATATACCTCCCTCCTTCTCCGCGTAGGCCAAGTCGATGCACCGACGAACGGCGTGCGCAGCGTCTGAAGTACCGTATCCTCTGCGAAAATCCGCACTGTGCACGCGCCAGTCTATCTTCGCCTCCAACGTCGTGCAGCCGTTTCAGGATAAGCGCGGCCATCTGGCTCATAAACAACGCGTGACAAGCTGATCGGCCGGTAATTGTCGCAATTGTCGAGGGCCCCCGTGTTCTTGCAAGCGGTGGAAACGATGGACTGCTTCCTATCTTCAGGCACTGCTTGTTCGATTCATCGCTTGTTGCATAGATGCGTGATCCAGTTGAGCCCGCCTGGACCTGTAGAACTTGCTTTCCATTGTTCCGCTGGCATGTCGTCAACTCCGCATGCTTTGCCGCGTTTGCGATTGTTTCTGGCGTTAGCGCACTTCTCCCCCAGCGACGTCTGACCCTAAAACTGGCAACCGTTCTCCCATGTTAGGGGCAAGAAACTACACACACACACACACACACACACACACACAGACGCACACGCACACACACGCACACGCAACATAATTTCACAAAGAGGGTTTTGGCACCGCGAACGGCGCAACGCATGTGCACCCATGCCACTGGATCCCCGGCGATCCGACCCAGGGTCCACGCGCGGCAATGCTCGAAGATGCAATTGAAAGGTACGGTGCGGCAGCGCTGTCGGCAGCGACGAAATCTCAAGCTCCGCTACCACCAGACATTACATGGTGGTTTGGCACAGCCAAACCACCATTCGACGTCACATTGTTCATCCGTTGACAGCAGCACGCGTCGCGGCAGCGGAACGCAGCAGCGCGCCCGGGCATGCAGGGCCGGCGACGTGGCTGGCCAGCTGCCAGCGCGACTTCGGCAATCCGCAGAAATCTGCGAGAACCTGATGGCGCCTGACGCTGGGGCGCTTGTCGGCGCCTGCAAGAACCTGATGGCGCCTGTTTGCCGGCGCTTGACGCTGGGGCGCTTGTCGGGCGATCCGCAGAAATCTGCGAGAACCTCATGGCGCCTGGGAGAATCCGGAAGAATCTGGAAGAATCTGAAACAACTCTGAAGAACCTGGAAGAATCTGGACCAAGACGCACATGGGTAGGGCGGGAATGGCTGGGCGGCCGGATTGCCGACTCCCCGCGCGGCCACTGGGCGATCCCTGGGGCTCGCCGCGGGCGCCCCGATTGCACCTCCCAGATCGCCCGAGCGCCTCGGCGCACCTTGCTCCGCGCGCCCGCCCCGCGACGCCTCGCTCGCGCTGCGCGGGCGCACCCGCGGGGCACCCATAGCGTCAGACGCCAAGAAGATGCTATAAAAAAGTGCCGACATGCGCGCAGGATCGCGTTGGGCGCGGCATCCGGCGCAGCTGCGTAGCACAGCTGGGCGCCGCGGCCTTGCGCATGTGGCGCCAGGCCCCGCGCGCTCCTCGAAGCGGGAAAACAAGGTCTACACAAAAGCGTCGCGCGTGCTCTTGTGGGGCCGACGAAGACCATCGCGCACATAACACTTTCCCCCGCGCGCCCCCCGCGCCGGCACTGCAACCAGACCCGCGCAAAAGAATTGCACGAGACTTCGCGGCGCGCAAAGGAATTGCAGCGACGCCCTCTGGGTCGCGCTTCTCGCACTCGGCGACAGCTCCGAACTGGAAAAGAATGGGGGGCAGGACAAGGCAACGCCGGGGAAGAAGAAATGGGCGAGGAGGGCGAGAAAGAAGCGAAGGAAGCAACGGAGAGAAGCCAGGATGCGCGCAAGCGATGCTAACGCCGCGCGGCGAGACAGTTGTTTGCTCGTTCGGATGGCCGCGCGGCAGGTGAATAGAAAAAAAAGTGTTTGCTGCCGATCGAAGGGACTTTTGGGAAAGGAAACTCGAACTCTCTTCCCCGCCCCGTTCCCCGCGCCCCGTTGCGAGCGCGCGACAATATGTTCTGGCGCGCGGGCAGAGGACCGCCAAAGGCGGCAAGCGGCCTTGCCACCCGTCACGCGTTCCAAACACACGCGGCCAACTAAACGCACTTGCCGCGCTAACCGCCGGCTCCAAACGCCGACGCAACCCCGACCCCCGCATCCAGGCCATGCGCCCTCTCAACGACGCCCCCTTTCTGGCGCCAAACCAATAAAACCCTTTGTGGTTATGGATTCTCCCTGTTCTGATATCTAGGCGTCGTCGTCCAGAAGCTGTACAACACGTATTTTCCATTGCACCTGCTCCAGATAATCGGCCATCGTGTCAGCTCTCGCCGTGCTGTCCACGAGATCGCCGTGCAAGTTTTTAAATATCCCTCATCGTCGTGGCGTAGGCCGGCAACGCTTTCCCAGGGCATCCCATCTACCTATTGATGTTCGTTCATCAACCCAAATCGTCTTGTCCAGCTTGCATGCTGCGCAAACCTGTTTCAAGAACGCTTTCTCTCCCAATTGTTGTTATTTGATCGTGCAATGCTACGGCGAGTTACGAGGTCAAGTGTACGGGAAAATATCCACGGCTTTATGGACTTTTGCTCACGCCACGGCAAGGCGTCGGCGGCAAAGTGTGCCGCTGCTTTGCCTTGGTCCCACATGTCCTGCCGACTCGTCGGTGAACCTGCACATGAAAATACGAATTCAAAAGAAACTGTCCGCGCAGGTGTTCCGCACAGCGGCGTCGCGCATGGCATCCCTGTCCGGTCATCTCGCCGCTGGCACGGTTGGTGTACATGACGGTAGCGCCCGATATGCAATTTCCAAGTAGGGGTATGTTGCTAAGGCTGCTTTTCGGAGACTCCTCAAGGAAACAATCGTTGTTCGCAAGGTCGAATCACAAAGTATCAGATCCAACATGTTATAACGATTCCCTGGAATATCTCCCATTGGCAGCGCCCCCGCCTCCATATAATAGATTTTCTCGTCCAACGAACGGGCACTGCGCGACAGTATCGGATATATGTACATCCAGGCCTGTGCAAAGTTCCATCATGAGGTCAGGGTGCACGTCGTCCCGAACCAAAATTTCATATTACATCATGTTCTCCTCGCTGCGCCACCCCCATTGTAACATTGAAGCCTCCCAGTACCAATTTGCAGGCATTGGCATTGCAAGAAAAGCACGTGGAGTCTAGCATTGTCTTAAAAATGGCGTCGTTCGGAAGGCGGCCGCAGGTTGTGTGGAGCATGCCCTGAAATACTTGCCATCGTGCTGGACCCAACTTCCGGTTTAGCCCAAAA